TACACGTCGTCCCAAGTGCCCCTTTGAGAACGCACGCTCATTGAGGGATATGGTTATGTGTTTTTTTATAACCCTCACACTTTGCAATGCTTTCCCCCATAAATATATCAACGAAATACTGCTAGTTGTGTTTCTTTTTGTACTCCAATTAAAGATGTGTCTTATTATAGTCTTCATATATAAAAAGTAATTGTAGCATCCATCATTCCAAGTATCGTCCTTGATCTCAAGATGGCTTGGAAAGGCTTGTGCGCACTAGACACTAGTTGATTGATCTTCTAATCTTATCTCCTCCTTCCCTCTCAATTTTCATCCAACACCCAAATCTTGAAATAATCCCTACATCATCTCTCATATACATGAATTTGCAAAAACTTTCATCATTTTTAAATGTTACGTTTATGTCATGCTTGAGATACAATATACATCACCCACTCATAGTTTAAATAGAACTGTCACTATAACTGCAACTGTCTTTGAACTTTTCTCCTTAATTAAAGTAAGTAAAGTGCCACGGCTATAGTAGTTGAGTAGGAATGGACAGAAGGAAATAGAGGAACCATCCCACTAATTTTAGCAGAACAAACAAGCACACATGTGAGCAGGCACTAATTTAATAAAACTACCTGCATCAACTTCAGCAGTAATCCCGGATATAGCCCAAGCTCATATCAGAAATGGCTTGATCCCCCAGCTCGCATGGTGGTAGCCTTCATTTCTTCGTTTAGTGTTGGTATAGTAGGCAGCCACTGAAAAACTAAAACTAAGTGCAGGCAATGCTGCAAAAGTCTCTTGGGGAGCATATTTTGCCTGCTGCAAAAAAGTGAATAGGTCCGGGTCCCCCTATCTCTTTTCCTTCCAAAAGCCAGCATCAATCAATTAGAAAGTGCCATGTTACGTTAAGAGTGCTGAATGGTTTCTGCACATGGGCATTAAGATAATAGGGTTGCTGCTGCACTAGGAGCTGTGCCACTGGCCACGGCCCTCTGCCCGTCTCCTTAAATGATGCTCAACTTCTTTTCTAATCCGCTTAGCTTTTCTTTCTTTCTTTATTCGTCTCTCAATAATTATCCAAAGACCCCATAAGATTAATCCCCTCCCTGGCTGGGCCACCTGCATTGGATGCAGAGTAATTGGGACCACCTCTTCCCACCAAACCTAGACCACCTTCCAAGTGATACTAGCTAGCCGTTGTTCTTGCCACACCATGCTTCTTCTTAATTACAAACTCTTGTAAATTGTCACGCCATTGAATTCAAAGCAATCTAGTGCCTGTTCAAGGTTAAATTATTGACCTTTATCCTTCTTTTACACCTAATTTGACACATGACCATTTTTTTTTTTAATCTTCTTTGTCAGCAGTTTCTAGAGTAAGTAAGTGGGTCTCTGTTACTTTGTCACTATATTAGTTTTTTCTTTTGCTAAACAGGTCAGCCTCCATGACCGTTAGAAATGCAAATAAAAGATAACTCACTCTCTAATTTCTTAATTCAGGATAGGATCTCAAACATTCTTTAAAATGGGATATTATTATTCAAAAAACTTTCGTCAAATGGTCCAACAGGAAAGTATTCTGTAAGCACGTTGCACTTTTATTGGAACAGTGGAGGGCAGTGAGTACCCCATTCAAACTCCATGAATTCATGAATGCAACTTTTCTTGACTTGTAATTCACCCACTCTTTTCAAAATAATCTTACATGTCAATCAAAATCAACTCCCTGTGTTTGTTTTTTTCTGTGATTATACATGTTGCCGACGTGTTTAATTTGTTATCCAAACACTCAATTTCGTATTCCACCATGCATAGAAATCACCATAGACCATAATTTATCTTTGACAGCATGATGAGTTTGTATGATTATCTTGCACTCAAGCTTTTACATTTTCTTTTTCCTTCTTTAATCCAAAGTTGTTGGCCTTTCGAAAGGAGTCTTGTCCCATCTATCATCGGGATTTCCAAAGCATGCTTTAAGGTCAAAAAAACAGATCAAATTGCGATATGGGCAGACTTTAACTTTAGTAACTGGCTGAGGAAGGATTTTGGCTTATTGCCAAATTCCTCCCTGACCCAACTGAGGAGCCAATCCGATCGTGCGGGTGGCTTTGGCCACACCCCACGCAGGTTATTGTGTTTGGTTTTCTCCTAGAGAATTTACAAATTGTAGTTGAAAGATTGAAAGTCTCAAGAAGATTGAAGATCCAATCATAGATTTAGAAATTGTTAAAAAAGATAAAATGTCTGATTATTTTTGTAAATAGTATTTTTTTTTACTTTTTACTATTTTTATTGTATAATAATTATTTAGTTATTTAGTAAATAGGAGTAATGACTTTACTCTTACTTTTAATAGATTAATACAAATAGTGTAATTGTAATAGTTTTTCTGGTTTTATGAAGAATCGAACATTTTTTTCTTCCTCCTCAAATATTCTTTCGTTTTCGTTAATTTGCGAACAAGTCCAGTCGATTTTAACACCACTCCCACGGGTTGAGGATTTTTCACTGCCTCTAAATTATACCCTGCCCATTAGCCATCGTTTTATATTAGGTGATATTTCATTGCCTGTTGCTTACCACTCCCATGTCTCTGTGTGTCTTAATTCACATGTGAATTACAGCGAATGCTTCCTTTTTCATCACTAACTTGCAAAAGCCCAAAAAGAAAACAGAGAACATATTTTCGACAAGCTGGTCAGATAAATCACTTTGACTGTTTGATGTCAGATGATTGTTTCCTTTTCAAGGCGAGGAGAGCAAATTTATCTGATATGAAGAGCAGGTGACAGAAAGTAAAAAGAAAGAGAAAGATGGTTTATAAATAGCAGAAAACGCGTGGGACATTGGTGGGGAAAAAAGGACGAAAGCAGTGTGGGCGTGCGTTATTTCGGCAGATTGTCTCAGATTTCATGGGGAGAGCTTTTGCTGCCTCGATTGACGCCATCATCTGCGGCTATGTTAGACCGGGCAACCTACACTTCATGTGGCCCTTTTAATTAGCTTAAGACAATGAAGTACAAGTATCACTATATTACAAAGAAAATTGATCAGCTCCTGGCGTTCCTGCCCCTGCATTGTTAGTTTATTATAGTCATAGACCGTTTTTAAAGAGAAAAATTGAAGATTATGCGCCATCGGATTTGTTAATTCCTGTTATTCAGCAAACAGCACTTTAAAAAGAAAAGAAGATGGATAACAGGTAAAGCTGATAATAGCCAGGCAGGCAAGGACAAGAAATCTGGTCATTCTGCCTTACTTTGCCAGTTTCATTTCATACTGTAACAAAGGTGAAGCCAGGGAGATACGTACCAAAAAATGAAAAAAACAATTAGCCGTTAGGGTTGGATGGACTACATACTGCACTCATTGTCACCCAAGCCTAAGCCTAAGCCTTGTATGTCAGAATTTGTCGAGTCATTCACTAGGATGTTACAATTATCATTTTTTTAGGGAAAACAAAAAACAAACAAATTTGAAAAATTCAAACTCTTAAAACGTATAAGGAATCTCATTCTTGCCTTGTCTTATACGTACTTCTGAATCTGGTAGCAGAAAAAGAGGCACTTAGATAAAGATGGCATTGAATATTTTTATATTACTTAATTCGATTAAATAAAATTAATATATTTTATAATCAGATTTGAATACGAATTAAATGGTAAAATATTGTCATAATTTGGGATAATGATCATAGAGTATTTATTATCCGAATACAAATATAATAATAATTTTTAATGTTAAATTTTAGTTTTAGAAATTATTTATAAATAATACAAAATTATTAATTTTTTAAATATAAAGACAAATTTTTAATTTTTTATGAGTTAATTTTAATTTATTTTTTACTAATAATATACATAGAGTTTGAAATTAAATATATTTTTTCATCTCAAAGGTCATTATTTTTTTTACGGGTATTAATAGTTGAATTCAAATATTTGGTGTTGATTTTTTATATAAATTATGAATAATTAATTTTTAATTACATTCAGATTCGAGGATCTCATAATTAGTCAGTACTCTACCCACTGACATATCCCAATTCAAATTTCCTCTTAACTTGTATCTAATAAATTTCATATTTCATATTCAATATTTCCATCTAGTTCTAGTTTGGAGTTACACACTGTTTAGATTAAAATATATACGTCTACTTGGAAGTAATCCCCAAGAAACTACTAATTGGATAGCAATGAATAATGACATCAATTTCCCCAACCAAAGCATGCAATTCATACTATTTTAATTAACTCTGCAACCTTCTTGTGATGCTGCCTTTCAACTGAACTACCTTATAGCTACCCTATGGCCAATACCAAGTCACTAACACCGCACTCATTTTGCTTAGTCTGCGGCCCCAATGATTCCAGAAACCTTTCACACCGACATCTATGCTGCCCCATGCCGTGTGTCATGTCAGTTGAAGCAATAGAGCTGCTAGCCAGTAGGTGGTAGCCAGTTGATTTAGCGAATGAAAAGCATGCTTGAGGTGGAAGACAAGCAGTGAAATACCTCGACATTTGATGAAACAAGCTAATTATCAATTCTTACATGGAGGAGAAGATTCAACAACGAGCAAAAGGGTTGACAGGGAAGTGTGCATTTCCTATAACGTGTCTACAGCTGTACCTGGCCCCTTTTTGTATGTGGCAACAGACAAATATCTGTAACAATTTCAGTTAATTACATACCATTGCAATTTAGTAGCCGAAAACAATAGCCATACAAAAAGCGACAATCTTTCATTCTAAATGCATCAAATTGCATTTTTGAAAAGCAATTAAAAAGAAAACCACCGTTTTCGTTTTTAAAATTCATTTGGGAGAATTAGAGAAGACTGAAGGGATTGCCAATTATTGGAAGACGAGGAAATTTAAGAACACCGACGAAGTGGCATTGATGTAATAAAGCAAAAGAATAAGCTCAATTGGAAATGCAAGAGGGTTATAAATCGGACACGAGTCTAATGTTTCCTTCTATCCTTGTCTGACAGTCGCATCTGTTTGTAGCGACAGTCCCTTCTTCATCAACTATTGTTTCACTCCTCCGTTTTAGTACTACAAACAATCAAATTTTATCACCTCTGTTTTTTCTGTAATCCACAGCCATGGCCTCCATGGCCTCTTCTACGTTCTTACTCGGGTTCCTCTTCCTCATTCTTTCTCTGACAATCACCGCCAAGAAAACCTACATTGTTCACATGAAACATCATGACAAGCCCCTTTCTTTCGAAACTCGCCATGATTGGTACAGTTCCAGCTTGCAATCACTCTCCGCCGCCCCTGACTCTCTTCTCTATTCCTACACCACCGCATTCAATGGCTTCGCGGCCTCTCTCGATCCAGAACAAGTTGAATTGCTTAGGAAATCAGATTCTGTTCTGGGTGTTTACGAAGACACACTTTACACTCTCCACACTACTCGTACCCCGCAATTCCTCGGCCTTGACGCTGAATTCGGGCTCTGGGCTGGCCATAACACTCAGCAACTCGAACAAGCTTCTCGGGATGTGATCATTGGAGTTTTGGACACTGGAGTTTGGCCAGAATCTATGAGCTTCGATGATTCCGACATGCCTGATCTTCCTTCTAAGTGGCGTGGCGAGTGCGAATCAGCTCCCGATTTTAGCTCCAAGTTTTGCAACAAAAAACTCATTGGAGCACGAAGCTTTTCGAAAGGTTACCATATGGCCACTGGTGGTGGTGGAATTTACAAGAAACCCAGAGAGGTCGAGTCCCCACGTGACAAAGATGGTCATGGAACCCACACTGCCAGCACCGCCGCGGGTGCTCACGTTGCTAACGCTAGCCTCCTCGGATACGCCAGCGGAACTGCTCGTGGAATGGCAACTCACGCTCGCGTTGCCACGTACAAGGTTTGCTGGGAAACTGGTTGCTTCGGAGCCGACATTCTCGCGGGTATGGATCAGGCCATCCAAGACGGCGTCGACGTCCTCTCATTATCCCTTGGCGGCGGATCTGCACCGTATTACCGCGACACCATCGCTATTGGAGCCTTCGCGGCGATGGAGAAAGGCATTTTTGTTTCTTGCTCTGCTGGCAACAGCGGGCCCACGAAGGCCACTCTTGCCAATGTGGCACCATGGATTATGACGGTTGGCGCCGGGACTTTAGATCGAGATTTCCCCGCTTATGCCGTTTTAGGAAACAAAATCCGTTATAATGGCGTTTCTCTCTACAGTGGTCAAGGAATGGGAAATAAACCGGTTGGTTTGGTTTACAACAAAGGTAACATGTCGAGTAATCTATGTTTGCCTGGTTCACTCGACCCTGCTTTCGTACGTGGGAAAGTAGTAATTTGCGATAGAGGAACGAACGCGCGTGTGGAAAAAGGAGCAGTCGTGCGCGACGCTGGCGGGGTGGGGATGATCTTAGCGAACACGCCGGTTAGCGGTGAGGAATTGGTGGCCGACAGTCACTTGTTACCGGCCGTGGCGGTGGGGAGGAAAGTTGGTGATCTAATTAGGGAATACGCACGGTCCGATCCTAAGCCGACGGCTGTTCTAGTTTTTGGCGGGACGGTGTTAAATGTGCGTCCTTCACCGGTGGTTGCGGCGTTTAGTTCACGGGGGCCCAATATGGTGACGCCGCAGATCTTGAAGCCGGACGTGATTGGGCCTGGTGTCAACATTCTGGCTGCTTGGTCAGAGGCAATTGGGCCCACTGGGTTGGCGAAGGACACGAGGAAGACCAAGTTCAATATTATGTCAGGTACGTTATAACGGCTATATTCTTGCCTGTTTTTAGTCATTTTATGGCAAAAGACATTTCAGTCAGCTTACATATCTGTCTTTCTTTGTCCTTTTTTGCGTTTTGTGTAACATAGTTGTTCAGAAAAACTAAAAAAAGGGTATAATTGGAAGTAGGGAAAGAAATTACCTAAGGATCTAGTTTGGACTAGAAAATGGTATTTACAGATAATAGTTAACAAAAAAAAAAAAGCAATTAAGGTCTTTGGCTGCAAATCAATGTCAAAAATAGTGTAAATTGACATTAAAAGTTTATTCTTTGAATGTGTGGTAAGTTCATTGACATCCACGAAGGGATGACTAGCTCACCTCATGGAATGATGTTTGTAAAATGCCCATATCCCTAAGGTTTGAAAATTCGCTTCAAATGTTTGGCAGAAATGGTCATTAGTGTTACTGTGTATAATAATTTATGTGTACCAAGTGGAGTAATCATGTTAGCAAGAAATATGATATTTTGCCTAAGCTTATTGGATTAGGATAAGCTTTTTCTAATGCGAAAATACTCGGTAACGCGTTGATGTAGTAAGATGAATCCAATTTTTGATTGGTGAGCTGTTAAGCATGTGAATGGTTTATATAACACTAGAAGAAGCATATGCTCTTTTCCTTTCACCATTTAAACCGTGATCCACATGCCTGGCTCCATGTTGCTGCATCTTTACCTATCTTTCTGCTTTTAAAAATGTAGGTACATCCATGTCCTGTCCGCACATCAGTGGGCTGGCAGCGCTGCTCAAGGCAGCTCATCCCGAATGGAGCACAAGTGCAATCAAATCGGCTCTCATGACCACTGCTTACACCGAGGATAACACCAATTCTTCTCTCAGGGATGCTGCCGATGGTTCCTTGTCTAACCCATGGGCTCATGGGGCTGGCCATGTCGACCCCCAGAAAGCTGTTTCTCCAGGCCTGG